TTTTGTATGTTTGTCACTCTCTTGTGACCTACTATTTCCGGGGTGCCTTGATAGTTGAAACAGACTTTGTGCTGTTGAAGCTAGAGAGGCGAGCAGAGTAAGCCTGATTCCCTGTAAAGACTTCTCTGTTGACACCCACCCCTTGGCGCTCATATGACCTTATGCAGTTGCGAGTTCCGTAAAACCCTCTACTATTAAAAACAAAGATTTTGGACGGAATAGTTGTGAGGTGACGGACGACGTGTTGTTGCACTCACCGTTTTCTCCTTGGTCGTTGGCCCGGCGGTGTGACGTGATGCGCGCGTGCGTGCTGTGAGCAGTGAGTAGATATCTAGACGCTGGGCCCGTCCACGATGTTCTTCTTTTTGTTGTTGTTAGCCCGACCTTGCCCCGTTGCACGACTCTCTCTCTCACTCTGACCTGGCTCGGTGCCCACGAGAGGTGGGCAAAATCCGGATAATCTATCCGAATAACCGGATAATTATCAATGAAGCATTGTCCGAATCCAGACTCCTAATTCCTAACTCCCTTTCCTGACCCGCTTGCCGAAGTGGGTGCACACGTTTGTTGAAGTGATGCTAACCCTTTTGCCGAAGCGGTTCATATCGTATTATTTGCCGAAGAGCTGTGCTCTAACATACTATCCGGATTTTGCTGAAACGACTCATTGCCCAGCTCTTGTGCCCACTCACGGACCGAGTCGATTCGTCGCCGGGGTCTCTCTCTCTCTCTCTCTCTCTCTCTCTCTCTCTCTCTCTCTCTCTCTCTTTTTATTATTTTTTCCCCCTCTTAACCTCCTCACTGCTGTGTAGACAAATGAAGATATATTCGCTCTTATTTTCCAAAGTGGGTGGTTGGCGGGTGACCTGGTGTGGTTTGCGTAGTCACACAATAAAAAAAAGGAGAAATAATAACGACAGATGTTTGATGAGAAAGAAGGAGCAAACCGCACCAGAGAGCACCCGCCAACCACCCGCTAATCATAGGCTAATTTTCCAGCGCATAATATGAACACAAAGCGAGGCCTGTGGTTGGGGATCTCTTTTACACACTGGTAGTTCTTTGGAATGCTGTTAGTGTGCACTTTTGGGAATAATTTATGTACATATGTATTATATCATCCCCCCC